GCATCGCTGCTTCCATAAATATGGACATGCTGGTCGCCTGGGGGAAACACCTTACTGCCTTCACACTCCTGTCGCAGAGGACAGCACGACTTTACCCCCTGACCGCCCCGTACCACGATTGCTCGTAGTGCGGGGTCTCGCTGCTCTTGGTCTGTCTGCTCCCCTTTGGCCTTCCTGGCATGGTTGTAAGTTGTGGAACGAAGTTCCGGCCAGTGTAGTCCGCGGGATCATTGCAGCACTGAAGACCGACCACCACGTCAAGGTGGCAGCTTTAGGTCGGGGAAGCTGGGTATCAGACGGCTAAGGACGGCACTTTAACACCCGCAAACAAATGGTCTAAATGAACGTGATAACCGAACGATCAAGAAGTGGCTTGCGGCCAAAGGAGGTGACTGGGGAAGTGAAATTGTCAATGGTGTTGTTAGCTCATCGTGCTTCCATACAGTCAACCACAGGCAAGTCCCCGTTTATGCTGATGTACGGTCGACATCCGCGCCTTCCGGTTGATCAGGAACTTGGGTTTTGGCCGGCCACACGCTTGTCCCCGGAGGAGCTAGAGGAAGACAAAAGGAGAGCTTGAGAGAACTTGAACGCCATTCTGGAAAGGATTAGGCAGAGAACGGCAAGTAGAAATGCACGAACATTCCCCATGAACGCGAAGGTCAAGTGGAAGGCTCATCAGAATCCTGGAAGGAGTGGATTGGGATCGCGGAAGCTAGGCAGTCGATGCCAAGGGCCGTTTGTTGTTGCCGACCGCCAGGGGAACGTCTATACTGGATTGAACTTGTTCCGGTTCTCCCTTGTCTCCGCAGCTTCGTAAATGGCATGATACACCTGACGAGCAGCCGAGTAGACGCGCTGCCGAAGCCGATTTGACGGAGGTGAATGAAAATCGATGGCATGCGAAGGATTTTTAAAGGGAGAAGGTGTGTAACGGTGATACTACTGATGGAGGAGACATGCGAGTAATATGTTTTCGCGTAAATCCGCTTTGCGGCTCCTGAAAAGTGAGATCTGTTGCGGAAGTTGTGGAGTTGCTTTGTAGCAGTTGCTTGGATTTGAGCAACAGTCAATGAATATGCAGGAAAGTTCAGGAAAACGCGTCTAAGGAGAAGGTGGATATTCAGTTTTTGTAAACAAGATGCGTATGAGAGTTTTGCTTCCCTTTCCACTAGTCTTTTACTGGTCAGTTGGCATTTTCAAATAAGCAACTCCTCAGCGAAGGCCTTTTTTCTTTCATTCGGTTTGTGGGTTGTCAAAGTCCTTTCGGCATCCTCATGAGTGGTATTCCTTTAGGAAAATCTACTGCGAACTCTGGAATATCGCACCAAATGAAGCACAAAATGATGTTTGTGTAGCACGTTTAGCTGACGAATCACACCGACAAATATTTTTCACAATTCTTCCACGCTGTTCCAGCAATTCCCAACTTTTCCACCCCGCAGATTCTGCCATTCAGAAGAAATTTGAAGATGCAAGGTACATGCATACTCATGGTGCAGTGATGGTCAGTTTATTCAACGAGGCTTGTATCTCGCCTTCGTCTTTAAAACTTAATTTCGCCTGCCCCGGATTCTCACAAGCAAACCCCGTACTTTCGTTTCACTATTTCACAGTGAAGAAGCTGAACGAGAACGAAAAGGGTAGATAGACATCCTTTTCAGACACCACTTTCCATGGGGAAGCTTCTAAAGAGCTTAACATTTTTTACTCGCATACACACCTAAGTATGTGAATATAAGGAGTGGGGTATGTTAAGAGACTTCTGGGAGGAGGGTTAGGAGCCCTGACCTATCTACGGATTTCGAGTCATCTGCACAGACGGCGTTACTCCAACCCTTGGAGGAGTGCGAAGATGTGGTTGACGCACCCCTTACTCGGACGAAATCGTGCTTGGTAATTAAGGTTTCTTGTGTCACCGTAAGATGACAAAGAATCGGCTACACCGGAAGCCTTTTTAAAAAGAGGAGCCGAAATGATACCTCAATGCTAACACTATTCACAGTGAGTACCCCTCGGAGATGCGTACCATTACCGACTCAGGCCAGTCGTCCGGGATGTTTTCTTTCTAGACTGGATAGCCAGGCAACTCCATGTGCGAATCACGGAGCACAAACGATACACGTGTTTTCCTCCTTAAAACCGAATCGAGTTCGAAAATAAGTAACGCGACTTAGCCATTGCCCTCCACGCAATTGAGTCAAGCTATCAAACCAAGTTGGATAGTACGCGTGTACCCCAGTCAGAATTCAGGTCGCACGTGGAATGGGCGGGCGCTGAAGCACCGGATCAACTCTAGTGATGGAGCTGGCATCCTGTCTTGTACTTAGTGCACACCTCAGTAAGCATGATTGCTCAAGGACAGGAGGACGACTGTTCGAACGAGGGTGATGTGAGCATGCATTCTATGGATCCCGTGACCTCCAGATTACAAACAGGAATCTCAACAATGGTGCATCATAGTCAGCAGAACAACGAACGAGTGCACATCCCAATCAAAGTACACACACAAGCGTACGCGCACATGCTGTTCGCAACCGATTGCCAACTGATCTCGGGAACGCGCCAATCAGAAGACACGATAGCAGACCCAAATAGGCTGTATTGGACTTGCATTCAATCGATTGTGGAGACCCTTGAAAAAGGTTTCCCATGACAACCACTACGCTGCCTTGACTTAAAAAAATTCGATATGCTCTTTTTCCCTGACAGATGCAAATAGGCTAAACAGGCATTAGATGCGGAAATCACTGCGTTTCTGAACAGAGCAGGCAAACCAGATCCGCGACGGCATTTGGGTGGTTTTGCACCACTTGTGAGGCTAAAGTGAGCTCTATATTCACCGTATCAGTTGATAGACGCTTTCCAATTCTTCCGTTGATCACCGTTGTACCGGGAATCCAGAGCTATATGATATGAAGAGAATACAGACAACTACGTCATTTATGTGTGAGGGAGACAGTTCACACTGAATGTAGACAAACAGAATGCTTGATTAGTTGGTTTGGGGCGGTCGGCATTGAGTCCTTCATTTACCTCGAAATTCACAAGTGAATGTGGCATTGATAACTCTTCAAATCCACGATAATGCTTCACTTCATTTGTTTACTCCGACTTCATATGGATTTCTTTAGTTTCCGCATACCGACTACCATTTTCCATGTGAGCTAGGCACGTTGCTGATTAGGCACTCTTGACCGAAAAGTTAAGTGTTTAAACTACTAACACAAGGTCGCGGATTCACAACTTCCTGAAGTTTCTGTGAGGTAGGCGCTTCTGATGATTACCGATAGAGATGCTCGCCAGCTTTTCGGCATAGATGAGCTTCAATGACAAGGTGAAATCGACCTTGGAAATTCCCACGGCTCCTTAGCCTTCCCACAATCACACGATGTCAAACAGTTCTGCAAACTGACAGTTATCTGCTAGGATAAATTTTCCGACAGCTTGCAAACAGGAAGAAAGCTTTCTGTCCCACTGGATCATTTCTTCAGCGCAGCAAACCCACCTAATGTTGTTGCGTGTAGCTACAAGAAGCAGGACCTTGACGATCGACCAAGCTAATGGCTAAACACGACCCTTTGTCCTATCGCTTTGGCGTCTTGCTGTTTATAAACAACTTTCGGCAACCTGGCTGGTTATATAGCAAGTATGAATGTGTAAAAAGCACACTGTCTTGGCCCACAAAACGGCAGATAACCTACGACAAAGGGCTTTTACAGAGCCGAAGTTCGGTGCGAAACATGGACCTTACAGTCGGTAAGTTCCGTGAACCATCTGGAAATCTCAAATTGGACACCGGTTGTCTGAGATCCTAAAAATGTTTATTCTTTGGTAGGGATATTCCCGCTATGAACTCTCCAAAGGTTTCATGCAACGGATAAAGTCAAAGTCCGATGTAGATGAACCTCTATGGAGGGCTCGCTGACAACTAAATATCATTGTGTTAACGGGAACCAACGCAAATAAACTGAACCTCTCCTTTACTGTGATCTTCAAATGACAGTTTGGCTTTTGTGCAGCACATTCAGTTGAAGAATATTATGAAAAAGAGCTTGAGTTGGATTTCATTCGGGTTCCTCGTTAATAACAGATTAACTCGCTACTTCCAGGAACACAGTCGAAACGATTAAACGATGGGACATCCTGATTGGCCAATCTCCGTCAGCCAATCGGGATTCAGGTTGCTTTGAACATAATGTTCGCTCTACCCCATTCAACAGTAGCCCAATAAGAAGACAGTAAAAATTCAATATAAGGGGGACAAAACTAAAACAGGTGGAAATTCGGTTGGAAGTGGCATATCGGAAAAAATGGTTCTGATGTTACAAGTTGCACTATTTCTAACTTTGGCATCGCCTTTGTTTGCAATAAATGGTAGGTTTTATGCATATTTCAAGCGGTCCAAAAGATTGTGTGTAAACTAATGTTTAATACTAATCGCGCCGAACTGCTTTTTTGTTTATTCAGTTCCTTTGGAGCTCAGTGAGTTAGAATGATTTGTAAAAATTGACCATAATCGTGGGTAAAGTTCATGACGTTTATTTTGGTTTGAATTGAAAGATATTTGGTTTTGGGGCTGGGTTTATCAATGGTTAGTGGTGGTCAATTTAACCTGGAATAATTACTTTGTCTGATGACATGGCGGTAAACAAAGTGAAAGGACACATATTCCACGGCTTTTAACTTCTTGCCGGCTATCTTCCTCGATTGATAGCGTGCTATTTACTTGTTGTTGCATCGATGAAAGACTCCAAGATGTTCTCGCAAAGTTAACATCTACAGACTTGTGTATGCAATCACTGGTGACTGGATTTAGGACGAACCGATTCAAGAGTTTAGCCAAAACTTTATTCATGTTATCGACTTGTTACGTTGCAGGAATCAAACATTTCCGCGTGAATTTCCAGTGTGTACCCACCGAAGGCTTCACCCCAATACGTTAATACTAGTCAAACTAGATTTATTCGAAACAAATAAGCCACCGACGATTTCAGAAACTTTCTCCCGACATCAAACATGCCAAGCTGGTTACTGCAGAAACTTGATATGTTCTAATTCAGACTTGATTTAGCGGTGGCCGATGTACTCTCGGTTATTACTGAGCTTCGCTAGAACATCACTCCCCAGTATGACCCCGTGGTCAATCGCATGGGACGGGCTTTTGTGTTCCCGATGAGTACACGAGTATCGTCAGGGCGAAACAACAACATAACGAGTTGATAACATAAGTATATTTTAAGCAAAAGTCTTGGATCTGTTCGTCCTAAATCCAGTCACCGGTGATTGCGTACACTTTGATTATTGAGTGTGAGAGACCATCTTGGGGTCCTTCAACGATACAAAAACAAGAAATTAGCATACGATCAATCGGGGACGATAGCCGACAGGATGAAGTTGAATTAACGCTCTCAAAATATCAGTAAATGGTGTTGTACACAGTGTCTTTGGGTTCGGGGGGTTAGAACATCTATGGTTAACATGTTGAAGACTCACGGAACTGGGAAGGATCGCTTGAAGTTTGAACCGATCAGTTGGATAACGTGCAACTTACCAGGCTTATGATGTTTGACTGCCTGTTGGCGATTTGCTGGACATCAGTCCATCAAATGCTTTCATCGGTCGGTGCAGTAATTCAATTACCGACAAATTGTTATAGACACAGTGAACTAGATGCTTTTATTTTATTTTTATCTTTGCTAGATCAACTTTTACTTGAATCACTGCTTCTGGACAGTAGGTCGCATATCATTCATGGGCGTAACACACTACTCATAAGGTTGCTGAAAACTGCACGATTGGTTTTGAAATCCATCTGGTGCGAACACGGGATCTTTATACCTGTTGGGAAACATTAAAATGAACACTAGTTTTGAAGTTGATGTATGTGAGCCACGTGTGAACCAATCTACTGAGGAACCCCTCGCTCTTGACTTCTTCAGGACTAGGTCCGAAAGCCAATCATACACCAGCCATTGTTGCAATAAAACCTAGGTGCAGGGTATCAACGTGACTGATAAGCTCTCGCAACTGATAAGGTGTTCACACATGTTTTCAAAAACTTTCATGTCAAGATTGTGGGACATAAGCCACGTAGGATAATGAATTTTTTTTTCGACCAATTTTCAACGGTTTATATAATTGTTGGGTAGGATTTCCCCTTTTACCAGATACTCAACTGTTGAGCGTGGTCTTCTTTGGGAATTGTTGGCCAAGTCAATTTGTAGGTTATCGATTTTCGAAACATTTAGAAAATTGGTGTTCAACTAAGAGATAAGCTGGTTGAAAACGCGAAACCGGACATGCTTGATGAATAAAAAACTGCATGGGACTTTCTGTGAGCTTTGAGTAGTGATGAAATATAATTCAAAATCCTGATTATCGACCCAAATGCAACAGAAGACGGTCATTCCACAGCCTATTTAGCGGGAGAGCAGTATAAAAGAGAAACTTGACTGAATTCCTCCCGATACATCAAGTGAATTTTCAGCCGAGTGTGCATCGCCGTATAAGTGGAGAATAGGCTAAGTGAAAATTTGGGGACCAAGAGAGTCCCAGGACGAGCGAAACCCGTAGTGGGCGGCTTTCTGGAGTTTTTGCTGATCAAATAACATGTATCGAACCTGGTGTATCTCATCTGATAAGTGACTAATCACCCGCGAAAGCAACAACTTCAGATGAAGGTGGGTTCGATATGGCCTAGGTGATGCTTTTTTGGGAGATTAGCGTGCATTGCTGCACCGCTTGTCAATGCAAGTTCCTTCTCTTTCGGGACACTCTGCAAGAGAAAAAATGATGCGTAGAATCCAAGATTTGAAAATTCGACTGAGACCAGGCGCAAGTTGTGCAGATCCGATCAAAAGGCTCAATCTGAACTATACCTACGGATAAGAATGTATGGGATGGCTTCAAAATTTTCGGACTGGGGAGTCTGGTTGTTCCGTCAGGAATACGGAGGACAGACTTGAACACAGTGCCGGAGATCATGTTTTGATGATAAATCCCGTTGATTTTGGTGGGACGCCACCTCGGAACAGCAGAAACGGTCCGTGTGACCACAAAAGTCCGTCAACCAGTACGCCCATTGATGAGCAGTGATTATTGGGCTTTTGGAAAATTGTAATTAAATTAAACGATCATATAGGCCTGTGGATGGACGACACCTCAGAATCACAGCATTAGGATTCACCACTGAGATAGCCGACAGAAAACTTGGACAAAGCACCCATGACAACTTGGATGATATCTTTTCGAAGCGGGTAAACTGTAGTCAACCGTGAATCATGAAACAGAACAGTTTGTATATGTACAGTTGAAACGGATTCGTTTGCCGCCCTTCCTCTAATTTCGTCTTCGACCTGAATGGATGAGCTGTCACGATTATCATTTATTTTTGAAGAGCAAGGTCACTAGCATAAAAAGTGAATACAAACGACGAGTACCGAAAAGGTAACAGGGGAATATGGGAGAAAAGAGAAAAAAGTCTCATTCGAAATCATGCCAAGAACACTTCCCAAAGTATGTAAAGATTTTGCTATGGGAACACGCGTCTAAAGACCAACAACCAAAGAAAGGACAAACAATGGTGAATGCTCTTCAAGGCGCAGTGTGCGCTAGCACAGTCAAGACTCGCACATCAGGCACAAAGTGACCGTCATACTGGGTCTGGTGTGAGAGTAAATGGAAAAATGTACCTTCATCGCCATGTGCCACGCATTAAAGTGTCATAAGTACACAGGGAGCCCACAATGGCAAGCAAACATAAGTCACTGTTTGCGACCTTAGGAAGTCCCAGTCCAATAACAGCCTTAGCGGATTGAGGAAAGCAGATCCCTCGATAAGAGATGATCATCGGTTGGTGAACCAAAAAGTCGATATCACAACCGATGGCACGTAGAGCTGAGATTATGGCGAGGGAATATTCATTAGCACCATACTTCTGCTTCTTCTCATTCCACACAATCACTCCGCCCCCATCCGAGACTACGCTGACGTCTATTACATTTGCACGGCGATCTCGAACAGCGATTAGGTCAGGTTTGATGAAAGACATCGAGATAGGTGCTCTCAACTCCTCGAAGACGGTGTATCCTAGTCGACGGAGACGTTTTGCGAGTTCCCTTGCAACCCGATTATGACGAGCACATCTGGCATTGTACCAACACTAGTGAGATATGGCAAGATACTGAGCGTTGTTCACCGATGATTGTGCGGGAATAGTAGGTAGGATGAGATCATTTAAGGATGTAACAGTCTGAGGTGCAAGCAGGTTTAGCGATTTTCTCACAACAGGCAGTGAAACATAAGGCATTTCCGAAGATTTCCTAAACTACAAATTACTTAGATCTCTCGTTCTTGCAGAGCTCACATTTGGTTAGGTGCTAAGTGCGAAACGGAGTGTAGATAACAGCTATGAGAGCCGTCTATTTTTACCAATTTCCACGTAAGAAGAGTTATTGTGGTCATCAACTTTTTTAAACTTGTGTAAATGCTAATTCTGACAATGAGTACAGTATAGAACAGATTTTGACCTGACACAGACTATGATCTATCTATCTGTGGTTCTGGTTAACTCTTGGACAGCTGACCTTATCATCCATTCTACTCCTGACCCAACGACCTTGTCACTCACATCAAGGAGAGATACCCGTTGAGCACCACTGACCCAGGAAGTACTCAGTTTAAGAGGTTGCTTAGATGTGGAACAATTTTAGCTTTTGGTCACCAAATGACCACAGTGTTTAAAATTAAGTGAGTATTTGGCCTATCCGCATAAAAGTGGGCTTACTTTACGATGTCAATGGACTAAGAGAATCCACATCGCAGTACTCAGCACGGCTAGCCTCGGAATCATTCGGAATAGTTTGGATGGGGTTACTACAAGTTTCCAGTAGCAACAGACAAACGGCTGTTAGCTTTAGAGCACATTCGCTGCAGGATAACATAGCATATCCACTGTTTGCTCCAATCGGTGTTGCTAACTCAGATTACATGTTATCATATCGCCCTGATGCTGGTCTTGTCGACGCTAGACTATCATCATCATCATCATCATCATCATCATCGTCCGAATCATCATCGTCATCATCATCATCATCATCAAAGACAGCTACATCAGCACTGGCACTGCCGCTTTCTATTTGTACATCAACAGGGTTTATTTTATTAAACTTGAAGCCTGAAATTGAAGAGGACAGAAATGAATGGTGTCTAGACCTCCGAAAAGGACCCAACAGGATGGAAACTACTGAGCTCAGTCAAGCACCATTACTTACAAGCACAGAGGGACAAGGAGCAGCCCATTCTGGAATTTTTGGGCCCCATCAACAACACTTTGACGCTTCGTAACCTAGGTGTCAAGCGGATGAGGCGTAATTCGGAAACTACAATCTAATCCGTACCGTCAGAACAAGTGTTGGAACTTGTGATTTACCCAGTCGATGGTAGTTGATCTAACTTCATATTTGTGATATCGTGTGATTCCAATAGCCGTGCATTTTACCGTCGAAAAGCGCTCACGGAGAGAATTTCAAGACCATAATTCCTCGGAGAGTAAACAATCAAGGAGATTTATATGTACTCGTAAGCCCGAGCGACTCAAATAACTGACGAATACGTGGTCAGAATAAACCTGCATCACTGTTCCAAAAAAGACAAACAAACTGTGCTCTCTGGGTAACTGGTAGGTTCCTCCTTACTGTGTGACCGCAAATAAAGAGACTCTCAGACGAGCGTCACGATCTGATATTACACGTCATCCGGGGCGGGACCATCAGTCGAAACATATGACTGACCCAGATCTTATACTTCAAGGCTCATAATTTGGAGATACACTTTGTTTAGCACAGAACTCATCGATACTTAATGTGAATAACTGGCTATTTGCCCCGCCTTCTGCGTACAGGCGGAATCCACATTCATTCTAAGGCCAGATTTTTTTAACTCTTAGCCACGCCCGGTTTCGCCCTTCTACTTTGGGCTCATCAGATAGGAGCATTCCCCGAGTTCCCGTCAACCTTATGAACTACTTTGACCCAAATTGCACTGTTTTTGAGAAATACACTCATTTGCAAATCAATTTGGTTTTCACGGGAGACTCAATTGAATCTCTCATTTTTATGATGTCCTCCAACTGAAAGTGCTGCACACAGGTCACCTCATGTTTCAGTTGGCACGATATTCGAGATATCGCAGTATAGTATATCATAAGGTTGACGGAAACTCGGGGACTGCGCCTACCTGCGAAACCGGTCGTGGGCTGTCGAAGAGTTTTCAGCAACCTTGTGAGTAGTTTCATTTATGAAAATATACTGTGATATCTCGTATATCGTGCCAATTGAATCATCAGGCGGCCTGTGTGCAGCACATTCAGGACATCATAAAAACGAGAGATTCAGGTGAGTCTCCCGTGAAAACCAAATTGATTTGCAAATGAGTGTATTTCTCGAAAACCCTGGACCACTTCTGCAGTTTATAGATGTTCGAGGGGCAAACCAGTTACGTGTGAGGTTCACTTCTACACGCATAACCAGTAAACAGTACGCGAGTTGGAAATCGTTGGCAGTACATATTTAACCTATTTCCAAAACGATAGGATCGCGTCCCATCCTGATCGATAGTTAAACCCTTTAGCATTCGGTCAGAGTAACACTGTGTTTACCACACATTCATGTGGAATATATCACCATTTGTCCCTCAGTCACGTGACGGATTCGGCTTAACTGCGTGGCCACTTTTCAGATGCTAGGTCTGTTTGGCTTATAGTTCTCACCGCTGGTGTATGGTTAACG